GGGGAGGCGTTGCAGAAGTTTGTGGAGAATTTGTGCCCATTCAGCCAAAAGGGCATTTGTGAGGTCAGATACTGATGTTGGATGAGAAGATCTGGCTCACAGTCTGCATTCTAATTGATTCCAATGTGTTCATTAGGGATGAGGTCAGAGCTCTGTGCAGGACACTCATCAAACCCATCAAGCCATGACTTTATGTATCGGACATTCAGGGACACAACCATGCTGCAACAGAAAAGGACCTTCCCCAAATAGTTACAAAGTTAGGGCCCGATTTACTCTCTCTGCTGCCCCAAGGTCAGGTTCCTCAATGCACCCCCCTACATGTCAAACACCCCCCCATGGAGAATGGCAAACCTGCAGGCTGCATACAAGTGATCTCGGCAACATCGCTGGGATCACTTGTACAAAACAAGCGGCGGCTTCCCCGCTGTACATTTAGCTCTGCTTGCCCAAAGCAAGGCTAAATGTAGAAAACAACTACCCGCCCGGCACCCGGAACTGCATGTCCCAGGCATTGGGAGATAGGAATTCCACACCCCTGCTGCGCCTCTACTGCCTGCTGCCCCAAGGCCAGGCCTTGGTTGGCCTTGTGGGAAATCCGGTCCTGCACAAGGCTGAATATGCAGAATTGTCTACAGTATAAATGTCTTTGTATGCAGCATCATTAATTACACCATCCAAGAAACGTGCACACACTGCCTAGTATATGGGGAATCAGGCTGACTATCTGTCCTGCACTGATTCAGATTTCCAATAAAACCAGACTTCCGTAATGAAGATTTACTTGCTCTTTGCAGCCATATAGGTCAAAATGAGCTCCAATCAGTCCCCCATCCCCAGTGATTGCAGAGTATAACGGTGTGTATTCTCAAACTATCAAGAGTCATTGAGTGACATTTACAAGTCCCCAAGGAGCGGCTGCAATCAGCCTTTCCTTATACCTCCCACAGCTCCTCTGCCATCTTCCTGCCATTTTATAACCACGGAGAGCGGCTCTAAAGGGTGCAGGGCATGTCTAATCCATTATTATACCATAAGGATTTGTAGCTTCATCCCAAAGCAATATCTGAAATTAATTAATTGAATTACATGGTATTATGAATTACTTAAAGGGCTTAAAGGGAAAGTAGCGAGTATATTTAGTAAGGATACAGTTATAATAAATAATTCTAATTTACAGGGATTATTGGATTTCCAAATATAATTAATGAAGTTTTAGCTTCTTAAGCTCAGAATGAACTAATGGAGCAGACACCCAGAGTGCTATGTTGTCTATCTTCGCTCTGTTTTAAAGTGAACCTCCGCAGGGCAACAGATTCAATTACATGCTCCCTCCAATTGAAAATGCGTGTCCTTCCTTCGCTCCCCAGCTGCTCCATTCAATTTGGAGTGGAATGAAGTACACGGTACTTCCTGGTAGGAGGAGCACGTGACTCACTTCCCTTCCTCCTATGGGGGCGCTTGGTCGCACGCGACTCACTTGCCTTCCTCTTATGGTGGCGCTTGGTCGCACGTGACTCGCTTCGCTTCCTCTTATGGTGGCGCTTGGTCGCACGTGACTCACTTCCCTTCCTCCTATGGTGGCGCTTGGTTGCACGTGACTCACTTCCCTTCCTCCTATGGTGGCGCTTGGTCGCACGTGACTCACTTCCCTTCCTCCTATGGTGGCGCTTGGTCGCACGTGACTCCCTTCCCTTCCTCCTAAGGTGGCGCTTGGTCGCACGTGACTCCCTTCCCTTCCTCCTATGGTGGCGCTTGGACACTCAGGCACCGTGCGCGGTCACATTGGGACTAGGCGAGAGAGGGCCACAACTTGGAGCGTCATTTACCCTGTATGGAATGGCAGGCAAGTGAAAGGAAGGAGGCAGGAAAGTGAACCTGCTGCTTTATCCTTCATGGGAAAAGGTGACTATAAAGCTGAACTCCAGGCAAATCTAAAAGACACAAATGAATGCAGCTCCCCATTCATTGTTGCATCGCTAAATGTATATTTTTTAATACAAGCAGTAAATTTGACCCAATGTCAGGCTCTTGCAGTCCCTGTACTGCAGTGCTCGGTCTGGGAGAGGAAGAAGCAGCACACAAAGCCAATCAGCTGTGCCGCAGTGCTCATGCGCTAACATGGAACATACTGATAGAAGGGGAGAGCAGAGAGATTAGCTCATCATTTTGCGGCTTCACCTTTCACTGCCCAGTCACAGGCTCAGGGAGGGACAAGACCTGTATGTGTTACTTGAGTGCAGCAGAGAAAACTTAGGTCCCCTGTCCCTGACCTGTCTAGGCCTGTGCTGTGTGGGAGAGTTGTGAAAATCTCAGAAATGGATGGAGAGAAATAAAATTCCGTATAACAGCTATCATATATGTGCTTCATCTTTGTATTTTATGGTTTGCCTGGTGTTCAGCTTTAGGGTCATCGGGAAGTTTGTTGCGTCTGTCCCCACCCCTTCCCCAATGATAGCTAGGACATCCTGAGGTGGAGAAGTAAGCCCCCACAGCACCTATTCGAATCCTTGCACAATGTGCAACCTTTAAGAAGAGCCCCCGAAAAACTATTATTTTTCCTCCATTCCTGAAAATATTTGGGGGTTCTGTTATGTGCACGCACATTCACATAAATGTTTGGTGCAGAAAGCACCATGCCAAGAACTACAGGTACCACCAGCTAATGTACTGAAAGGAGAGAATTCAAAACTGGTAGGACAATGCTCCTCTCCGCTCCACTCCTCTCTGCATCTAATATTTTAATATCTAATATATATAATATTTTACACTTACAATGGTTAACACTTGCAAAAATATAAAAACAATGCAGCCCAAAATCTATTCACGGACACAGTGGTGTATCCAAGGTATGGCACATGCCCTGGGCGCCACTTGAAGGAAGGGGGGTGCTGCTCCGTGGGTCAGAAAAAGTTTGCCAACCCATAGACACAGCTGACTTTTTTTGCTCTGGCAGGCATCCCCCTGTGGTCCTGGCAACCAGTGCTGTCACTGTTTGCCAGGAGCTGTGCGGGACGCCATAGGCGCATTAGCTTTAAGAATATACACACATATTAGCGCAGAAATTTCAGAACAAAGAATTCATAAAACACTCACGCTTGTGTTTGTTTCCACGTCGGTGTAGCTTCTCCTGGGTTCCCCCAAACCACTGTCATCTGCTCTGCTGGATACTGAGACTCCAGGCGCCTCCTGAAAATGAAATCACCACATTGACCTTGAGAACAATTCCCGGCAACAGCAAGCAGATAGGAAATCCAGGAAACATCTCGTAAAGAAAAACAGCAATATCCTTTCTGTCTCATGAAAGGTAAAGTGCTCCAGTTATTAATTCACAGTAGTAAGACAATGTGCAAGGGGGGTATTCAGGAAAACAAGGCTCATAAATTCACTAAGGCTGAGATATCAGTGAGGTACAGCCAGGCACAAAGATGAAACAAGTATTAAACCGGTCTACCAGTACATTGTTGGGCCGTGTTAATAAATTCAAGGTTTATCTGCAGATACATGAAATGGATAAGCTAAGTCTATGGAGTCCAGGTGTTTCCAATAAAGGGTACAATTGTGTCCTTCCAACCCTGTGACAAAAAAGTTTGGGAAGCGCCATCCGGGACCACTTCAGCAACCCCCCACCACAATATATGGGGTTTCTCGGTCAGGAGTGCGTTGGGACTCTCTATTTAAAAGTTTGGGAAGGGCCCATTTCTGTTCCATCATGACTGTGCCCTTATACCCAAGCCCAGGGCCATGAAAGCAAGGTCCCATCAGTTAGGTCTAGAGGAACTCAAGAGGCCTGGGGAGAGCCCTGACCTCAGCTCTACTGAACACTTCTGAAATGAATTGAAACACAGATAACAAACCCGGTCAACTTCTCTAACATCAGTACCTGACCTAAAAAATTGTATTTTGGCTGAAATTTGGCACAAATTACCACAGACACCCTCCAAAATATTGCTTGAATGCCTTCCCAGAGAAGTGAAGGTAATATCGTTTTAAGGGGTGCGGACTATGCTTCTGGAATAGAATCTCCAACAAGCACCTATAGATGTGATGGTGAGGTGTCCACACAATTTTAGTAGATGCTGGAGAGAGATAAACCCCTCCCAACAGTCTCTTCTCTCTGTCCAGGACTCTTTTGGTGAAAGCTCTGCTGTACCCATTATGAGGGTTGTTCTCCATCCCTGCACTGAGTTCCCAGGTCTGCACACCTGCTGTGCCAGTAATAGAGTTCTCGGGTCTACACACCTGCAGTGCCCATTATGAAGCTCTCCTACTCTCCATGTTGGACTTATATTTACCTTATGGTGTATGTAACAGAAGGAGCCAGAACAAAAAAGGTGAGTAGGAACATCTAAAACTCTTAAGTGGACAGGAATAGAGTTGAGATTTATGGCAGGAAGTATCAAAGATTTTTCAGAAATCAGGGGCCAACCCAGCCTACCAGGTGGTCCTTTAGAATTAAAGTAGATATTATTCCAAAAGTGTGCTTTTAAAAGAGACACTGTCACTGTGTCCATTCAGAGGAAAGTGACAGTGTGTTTGTAAAGGACAACCCTTGAACCCCTGCATACTCACCTTGCCAGCTCTCCCTCACCGTTCCTTCTATCGAAGCATACGGCACTAAAATCCCAAGTGTTGCCTGGTGCCAAAAGCTAAATGGACAGTGCTTGTGCCTAGTGTTTGGCTTCCACACCCAAGCATTGTCACATGGGAAGACGTTGCATGCACCCCCATACCAAAAAACAATGGTTGTGATGGAGGCAGGAGCCATGATGGAGGCAGGAGCCACGATGGAAGCAGAAACATCGAGAGAGTGCTAGCAGGGCGAGTAAAAGAAGTCACAGGTGGTCTCTTTCCAAAGACATTGTTGCTTTGGCGTGAATAAGTAAGGTGACAGTGTCTTTAATTTATTCCTGTGCTTTTGAAACATAAAACTAAAACTGACCTTTGAAATCAATTCAGGAAACATGACAGACACGCAGGTCCTCGGCCATCAGTGATAATATCAAGCCTGATAAGCCAAGATTTACGGACTTGGCAGCAAATCGTTCTTGGCATTTGTTGTCTACTACGCCGCAGCAGCTCTCACCCTCAGACAAATGGATTGTGTTGACGAACACTTAATTTATTTGATAACTGTAGCCTGATAGATCTATAGCCTGATGGATTGTATTTCATCTTCTAAAGATCTCTAAACCACACAGCAGCAAATGAATAATTAATCCCCGAGATTTCTCCCAAATCTTCCCAATGTTCCACGGCACCCAGGAGCAGCCCCATAAATATATGTGTTGCTGCTCATAAGCACATGTATGTCTGCGACTATAGAAAACAAGGTTTATTGGTACACTCAGTAGGTAAGTGCGGCACGTCCTTCACCCACAGCCTCAATTTACAGGTTTTAAAAGCATTACAGCTACAACGTGGATAATATTGTTCAAGTGGAATGTGTCAAGCCGTTTTCTCTTCTGTGCAAATCAGCATTATAGAAGAATGGAAGTGATGTATGTTGTGCTCTGTGTGCGTCTCTACGGGGCGATAATATACAAGAGCTAACGATCGAGCACAAAGATAATCATCCACAGACTTTGTTTGGTATTCACAAACATTATAAACTAGCGGAGTGATGATGAATTCATTCTTTATGAAAGTTTTGAGTAAAATGTAACAATCAGTACAAAATTACAATTGTATGTTCTTACAATTAAAGTGACACTAAACTGAGGCGTTAAACCTTAAAAATACATTCAAGAACCTCAACTATGAACAACAATGTATCTTATTTGTGTATCACTCGGGTGTAGATCCTCCAATCATCTCTGAATTGGTGCCGACACTGTCCTTCCTTCTGGAGGGGGGCTACTTGTGTTCCCCATGGTCCCTGTGTGTGTTGTAAAGTAGTCACCGCTCCAAGCTCACTCCCGGGATGGACTACAACCTCAGTACAAATGAGTAAACTAAACATGAGATTGTAGCCCATCCCGGGAGCGAGCTTGTAGCGGTGACTACTTTACAACACACACAGGGACCATGGGGAACACAGAAGGACAGTGTCAGCACCAATTCAGAGATGATTGGAGGATCTACAGCCGAGTGATACACAAATAACATACATTGTTATTAGTTAAGGTAGCTGAATGTATTTTTAGTATTTAACCCCTGAGTTTAGTGTCACTTAAAACATCAGCAAACAGACCAATTTAAGTAAAAATTAAAAAGCAGCTTTTGCTTTAATGATAATCTGGAGCTGTCACTGCATTAATCTTCTTCCACCACTGGATGCTGCCAGTTTTCCAGGTGGAAAAGCAGCCGGTGTCAGTCAGCTCACTTCCTATGAGCCCAGGCTGTCATGGACCTGCCCCCTGGGGGAAATCAGCATGCCAGCCAGGTTCAGAACACTACTGCATTGGTTGATCACACCGCTCATTACATATGTACCATTCAGTGTATATGCTTGCCCAGGCAGGGCAAAGCAACACATTTAAATGCTCCTCTCCCCAGCAGCTTTTACCTGCCGCTTCTTCATTTACCGCCTCACTGTTCAGATGTTATAAGCAAAGATAACACCTGGTACTTCCAGGTACGGTCTAGCATGCAACTTAGTACATATGACAGCAGTAGTGCAAGGCGATTGGCCCAGTGCTGTCACGTGGGATGGGGAGAGGCCCTAGCCAAGTGTAAGCCTTGAATGAAGCGACTTGGAGCTTACACAGGGCTGAATTTCTTCACTCCTGGTGGCTGAACACAGCAGAAGAGAGTGAAAAAGGTAAGAATGGCTAGCTGGGTAGGGGGCATTACAGTGAACCTGTCATTTTACTGTGCAATTAAGCACAGGCTCACCTAGGAGGCACTCTTTCCCTAATTTAGAGGTGACCACAAGAGGGAGTATTTACAATTCTGTAAGGGAAGTACAACAATAAAACAGCAAGCATGTCAAAGTGTTTCCTATAAGTACTCAGTAATAAGTTGTAGGTTTGCTTTAAAGGAGAAATATGAGGCGAGTGATTTTCACTCAGCCTCATAATCTAAGCCGACCTGTGACAATGAGACTGTCACAGGTCGGCTCAGTAGATCGGGAAGTGAGCAAACACATACCGGCGCTCGCTCACTTCTCGATCTATCCCTGCAAGGAGCCGTGACTGTCACTCTCAGCTCCCTGCAGGGATCCCCCCCTCCCCTATCGGATTCTCCAGCGCTGACTGGCGGAACGGACGGGGGAGGGGGCGGTACAGCTGTCTCTGTCTCTAGATAGGCAGAGCCAGCTGTCACTCACGCAGCTGGGTGGATCCAGACAGTATTGTCGTGATCTGTTGCGGCTGCGGCGTCTCAGTATGTAGAGAGCTGTAGCTCGCGGTATACTGAGCTTTGGGTCACGGGAGGACACTAGTTTGTGTCCTCCCATTACCCTTAGGAGAACTATGGGGAAAAAGCCCTAACCCCATAGTTCTCCTTTAAAGTGATTGTCTATTTTTGACAATTGTTATGTCAGATGCCAGTTCAGTTCTTCTCCTGTTCCTTGCCTTATCCTCATGAATACAGCACCTGCATCATTGTTGGCATTGTAATCCATCCTTCCATCTCCAGAAAGCTCTATTAATGGTGTGGTCAGACCTTAGCCCAGTCCTACAGGCCCCTCACATTGCCAAGGCACCAGCTTTCTTTTAAGCGTGCACGCTCACCTGATTGGAGAATTGGGAACTTGCTGGCAGCGGGTAGGGGCCGATGGCCATCTGGCGAGCGGCATCTTCATTCCTGATGAAAGAAAATAAAATCATCTTTGTTATCGTGCACATAGAAGCTCACACAGCTGCTGTCATGTTTTTCTCGCTGGGAAGGACGGTGCCAAGAGCCGCCGTCGTGAGCTGTACATACAAATATAACACTTTCATCAGTCAGCAGAGTGAAGGAGGACCGCTGATCGGCCGCTGTGGGACAGGATTCCTTTCGCTTTGCCTTGTTAAAAGGGTCAGTCTGCCCATGTTTCAGTTTTGGACACTTGCAGGCGAGTTAAATTACACTCAAGTTTCTGTAAGGGAATGCGAAGAATTTCTGAAATTGTTTATTTATTTATTTTTTTTATATTTTTTCTTTCCAATCACATAAATACGAAATATTGCAGATGAATATCTCATATTTAATTTTCCAGACTCTAGACATGTTTTCAAGGGTATTCTTAACTGCTTTACTGAAAACTGAGTGGAAAAAACTGTGTTTACAGAGCTCAATAACTTAAGCTTGGATTACACGCATAACTGAATGAGTCAGAGGAGGGACCCTCTACCATGCACTCTCTGCATAATGTCTGTGATTCCAGCAGAGTACAGACTGTATCAATACTCCAGGAATACTTTTTATTAGGAATGCGCCGATACCGTTTTTTCAGTATTGAGTACCGATATTTATATTCCCAATACTCGCCAATACCGTGTACCGATATCGATACTTCCGCTAGCATGGAGCCGGCTTCCTGGGCAATCAAGAAGCCGGCAGTGAGTCATTACCCGCCGTTCAGCTTCCTGATTGGCCCGGGAAGCTGGCTCCATGTTCCCTCGCGGCACTGCCGATCAGAGGAAATCTCCCTCTGACTGTAAGTTCCGGAATCGGGCTAAGTACTGGATCATTCGGGCGGGTACGAGTACTCACCCAAATACTCGGTATCGGCACCGATAACAATTCTAGTATGGGTGCATCCCTACTTTTTATTAACCCTTGCAGTGGGACTACCCTCCCACTGTGTCTAGGGAAAAAAATAACATATACATACTCTACCAGAGCTCTGAGCTAGCCAGCGTACTCATATCTATACACAGTGCATAGAAGTGATGATTTACAAGACCTTAGACTGCAGCAGGGGAGGGGGTCAGACACTGCAAAGACCGGTCTACGAAGAAGCCGGCTCTGAGCATCAAGTGAGTACAACTTTTTTTTTTAACCTAGACACAAACAAGCACTTACTGCAAGGAGTTAATTAAAAAAAAAAAACTTTCCTGGAGCTCTTCTATAAGTAGCACCATTACAGTCTATGGCTCCCAACCATCATTCTGTATTATCGGCCTGATTCACCACAACACAAGTAGCTATCAGCCCTGAAGAAGGGGACACACATCCCCAAAACGACTTGGCCTTACCCTCGAATCTTTAATATCTTTTTTAGATAAGTGCTTGTGACCTTGTACTTTTCCTCATCATAAACAGATGACAGTCTCCAAAAAGAGCAAGGGTAGGCAAACTGCGGCCCTCCAGCTTTGGTGAAACTACAAAGCAGAGTCTTGCAATGCGGTATGGGAATTGTAGTTTCACCGCAGCTGGAGGTCCACAGTTTGCCCACCCCTTCTATATAGAATCTAACATCTATGAGCTATTACACACTCTGGTGGCTGAGGCTCATCTGCAGGAATAGTAATTGGACTGGTCACACTGATATAGTGCCTGCCAACATGTGGTGTGCCTTTCCCCCGTCTCTCTTTACAGGCTTAATCACCAACAGCTGACCGCTTGTGTTTAATGATGCGCTGGCTGGAACAGATGCCAAAATATGGTCATATCAGGACTACATGCCCAACCACCTAGTAGTGTCTATGGCCGGCCTAACTGGCCGCACTTCTTACTGAATAAATAAATTGTACAATGGGTCACCTTGCCAGGTAAAAGCAGCTCCGCCATGTATATGATGCTATAGAAAAGCATAATTCACATCAGACAGACGCACAGCATGTGAGAAATGTACAGTCTCCTTCCAACACAGAGGAGGGGACGGAGCTGCCATGGCTCAGTATTTGGCTGCTGTCTCAGGACAGGCAGTTTGGTTCTTATCCCAGCTTCACAATGCATTATTTACACATTATAAACCTGCAATACACCAAGGGTGCCTGGCAGGCAGACCTCTGTGAACAAACTCGCCGCCAGATAATAAATAAGAAAGCCTGGAGCGATTAGCTGCCAGCATAACCCAAAGACCGGATTGTAAACAGGAGGGCAGACAGAACACGGAAATAAAAGGAGAGTACATAGAACACTAAGGCCCCGTTCACACCTTTCCGTTTTGTCGGGCGTTCAACGCTCTATGAACGCTCTACAAAATGTACAACCATGAAAATCCCATTGTTTTCTATGGGCATGGTTCACACCTTTCCGTATTTCCGCCCGTCTGAACGCGCTACAAAACGGCTGACGCCCAAACAAGTACATGTAGTTCTTTGGGCCGTTTTGGAGGGCGTTTTCCATTGGGATACAGCCAAGCAGCGAATCGCGGTAAAAAAACCACGTGACGGTCGCGCGACAGACGTGCATACGTAAAACGCCTAGGTGTGAACCCAGAGTAAGACAACACAAAAGAAAGCAGTGCTAAGGCAGGGGAGGGGGCTCTCGTTTTCTGCTGTTTTTTTTTCTTAAATACAAATAAAATATCATGCAATCCATCTGATGTTCTGCGGTGTGTGAATTATGGACCGCATCAAAATGACATGACTCAAGAAGGAGCATTGGAGAAAGAGCAAATGTGGTATGATGTCATCTGGGTGCAGATCAATCAATGTCTCCGGAAAGCATGATAAAGTACTGTACACACGATCCCCGCACCCATCTCCTGTGCTTTCAGATATACAGTATAAACACACATCCCCCTGCACCCTGTTTCCTAAGTGATTAGGCATGCAGTGATATATACACATTTCCTGCACCCATATCCCATGCTTTCAGATACACAGTACTATAAAAGCATCCCTGCACCTTGCTTTCTGTGCCATCAGGAACATAGTACTGTACAGGCATTCTCAACCCTTTCTTCTACGTCATCAGGAGCACACTATTCTACAGGCATCCCCCGCACTCAGATTCCTATGGCATACAGTACTGCACAGGCAACCCCCTGGACTCAGATTCATATGACTATCAGTACTGTACACGAATACCCTACACAGCTAATCCTGTGCAGGTATACCATGCACTCAATATACCCTGGCACAATACCATACAGCTATATCCCCTGCACTCTATTTCCTGTGCCATACAGTACTGGAGAGACATCCCCTGCACCCCATTTTCTGTGACATACAGTACTGTTGAGACATCCCATGCACCCCATTTCCTGTGCCATACAGTACTGTTGAGGCATCCCATGCACCCCATTTCCTGTGCCATACAGTACTGTTGAGGCATCCCTTGCACCCCATTTCCTGTGCCATACAGTACTGTTGAGGCATCCCCTGCACCCCATTTCCTGTGCCATACAGTACTGTAGAGGCATCCCCTGTACCTCATTTCCTGTGCCATACAGTACTGTTGAGGCATCCCCTGCACCCCATTTCCTGTGCCATACAGTACTGTAGAGGCATCCCCTTTACCTCATTTCCTGTGCCATACAGTACTGTAGAGGCATCCCTCCACTTTATTGCCTGTAGCACCCTGCCTCTTGTACAGACAAGCATCCCCTGCACCCCACTGTCTCCTGCGCTAGCAGGCATGTAAAAGGCAACCCCTGCACCCCCAGTACAGATACCTCTGCACATACAGTCTTGGGTGTCAGGAAGGGGAAGGGTTACGTGCTGCGGTCAGGTTACCATCAGCTAGGATTAGAAGTCAGGTATGTTTACTGGCATAGTTTATGTTTTCACTTGATTTCAGCACAAAAGCACCATTCCAAAAACGACCATCTGACAGTTGTTCCGGCTGCTATCAATATTTTAACACACTAATACAAATAAATATCAGGAAAGTAATCTGAAGCAGCGCAGCGGGAACTTGTTATGAACATTTTTTTCCCTGGGACCCAATGTTTGTTTTCCGTTTGTTCATTGATTTCTAGAGGCAAAACCTAATTAGGCTGTAGGGAGACCCTTCCATCGCCTCGTTATACTGTTAGCGCCAGCGGCGGAGTCACATTGGCGGGGTGTGGGGATCATAGGGGCCTAAACTACAGATCATGGGGGCCCCATAGCAAAACTTCGATGTTCCTCCTTCCAGGCAACCTGCCTACTGTCATTGATGGTAACATAAAATATGTCTAAATCAAGGACAGGTAGCGGGAGAGCCGTCAGCATAGTCAGCACATTACTAGATGCAGTGCTGTGGACCAAAAGTTGTACAGAAGGAGGGACAGGGGTATTAGTGCATGGAAAAATCTTCTAACAATAATCTGCCGGCTACCAGCCCACTTCCAGGTGCCATTGTAATACATCCCCCTCACTTCCAGATGCCATTCTAATATATCCCCCTCACTTCCAGATGCCATTCTAATATATCCCCCCC